CCCATACCCATGAATGAGAGATGCTAAGAAGAATTTCCCGATCAACGATACTGTACATGATCGGATGTCGTCTTGGAGTGAAGTCTGTTGTGTCTTTTGGGAAGAATCAATTACTTTATTGACTACATGAGAAACCTCTTTCCAGAATGATTCCCATTGGCAATGTGCGTGGGTGGGAATTGCGTGAAGGATGTGATGATAGATACTAGGTATTTATTCTATTTAACATGCTTCCATAGAGTGAAGTAGGAAAGTGATGTGACGATATAAAATCTAGACCACCAGACCTTGATTTTGATGATGGGAAACTCATTGTACGTACGAGGTACCGAGTATCTACTAGGTATCCACTAGGTACTCTCCCCTTCCATCCAATAAAGGCCCTTCTAGAAGATTTCCGTTTGTGTACGAGTATCTACCTAGGTACCTAGTAGTATTCACACTTCACCCCTTCCCTCCCCCTTCACCCTTCACCCTTCACCCTTCACCCTTCACTCTCCACACTCTTCCACCACCATACATTTATTATCGAGTGATGCATCATTTTCCCAATGTGGGGCTTTTTCTACTTCTTTCCCCTCGTCCCGTCCACGTCCACCCAAATCCAGATCAGCGACCCTGGGTCTCATAGCAAAAGTCTGTGCGTCATTTGACAGGACAAGGGAGGAGGAGCTCTGACCTTCCAGGTTTCCACAAACAGCTGGTAGCTAGTGGCTGGTGGCTGCTCGTAGTAGCTAGTCCATCGTAGTATCATGGGAATATCGTAAAATCGCAATATCGTACCTCTCGTGCCCATCGACTCTCGAGCTACCCTAGTCAGAGATGGTAAAAAAGTGGAGCAGATTATCATGTGCAACCTATGATCGTGCATCATTTCTCAATATGCATGCGAGGTAGAGACCGCTACCTAGCATGTAAATTAAAAATACCGGTAATCATGATGATCCATTTGCCTTAGCTTCCTTTTCCCAACTCTACCTTCCATTTTCACTCATTTCTGCCTTCACTTCACTTCACCTCGTCACTCTTCACTCTTCACTCTTCACTCTCTACCTACCTACCACTTACTCGGCAGGTATGATTCATCAATTGTCATCTGGGAATCTCTTCTTAATTCGAATGCGGTTGGCAGGTTCATCTTCTCCTCTTCTCCATACCGTACTTTCCCATCAACTCAGTACAGAATATACTTGAAACTCTACATCGTTCGTTGTAAGGTTGTAATATAATACAATATAAATTTGGAAACCTCTACATACCGTTGCATCATACCTACATACATACGTTTGACCTCATTCATAACCCCTCACTCTCCAAACAAAAGATACAACCTGATATCTCTGCCCAGGTGAATCCCATAATTCTTCACTTCTTCGTGGTATGATATGATTCATTCCTTTTCATCTTCTATTCTGGAGACTTTGAGAATATAAATATTGTTTCATGTTTCATCTCTCCATACGTGAGCGGACGATATACTACGAGAACTTCTTCCGTCGAGTCTCTTCTAGTCTACCTCGTCACCACACATAAAGTCCGATTCCTTTTCAGAATCTGCATACCTAGTACCTACCCAGATATTCACTTCGAGAACCGGATTCGGATTCGATCCCCCCCCAAAGTTTAAAAAGAAGAATCTACTAACGTCGAAAATTCTACTAGTACACTCCTAGTGCCATCACATTAGATTCTATAGAACGTCCGTCACTCGGTTCACCAATTCTCTTTACTTAATATTCACCCACTACCCTCGACAAAGTCAAACGTCTTGAATATGCAAACGATCATTCTCACGACACTCTTGACCAACACTCCCTCTTCACCAACTTACACTATTCCAAAAAACCAACTACGCAAGAACTCATCATATTGATCAAGCGCCAACCGCAAACAAATTCACTTTGACGACATGAGTCAAGCAGCTCCAGTGAACCATAAAAATGGTCCACCGAGAGATAAACAACCCTTCATTCAAAATGCAGTGAATAACTATATCGAAATTTCGGATTCGGACTCCGAAGGCTATGGAGATGCTTTTGATGTACCTCAAGTCCCCGCACATCCCCCACATCTAGATTTACAACATCATCAACTCGGAGGGTATTTTGGTGCCAACAACCAGATATTTGATCTCGAGGATAACAACCTAGTGTATCCAGGCCAATTGCCTCAACCCGCAGTTGCAGCTGCACCCGAAAATAAAGCAATGGCCAGAAATCTTTCTCCCGTCAAGAATGAAGAAGGGGAAATGAATTGGGCGCAGTGGATGGATGAGGAAAATGACGAAGGTATCAATCGTGTACTGTTGGAAGATTATACTTTTCGAGCGGAATACAATCGAGCTTCTCACCCTCCTCCTTCGTTTGTTGAACCTTCTCGTCTCCATCAACCATTTGAGCCATCACCAAACAATTTAAATCCAGCGATGATGGAAACAAAGACGGAATGTATCAATGCAGTGGTTGCAGTCTTCCCAGAGATCTGTAGGGATCATGTCGCTAGTCTATATGAAAAGGTATCTATCACTTCTGGTCGACTGATTGCTCACATACTGGATCAAGCGGATACTGGAACTCCGTACCCAAAAGCAAAAGATGTCCAGAAGCAATTGAAGAGAAAGAGAGTACTCACCGAAGAAGAGGAAGCTATACAAAAATATGAAGCCGCCGGTCGCGTCGTTGGGCCTGCTTTATATTTTGAGCGGACACTGATGTGAGTATATTATGTTTCATCTCAATCACTCATCCATTTCCTCATTCTATTTTTCTTTTGCTAACATTTACCTAGTCGGAGCATCCTTTCATTTGAGTTTCCAGTAACTCCATTGACCTTTGTAGATGATACACTACGTTCTACCGGTCATCGTCTTTTCTCCGCCTATCGCGCACTCGAGGAAGCAGATCGAACTTTTGATGCTAATAATCCACCATATAGGAGAATCAAAACTCCAAGAAAAATGCCATATGAGTACCAAGATGGTAGAATTGATGAATCTATTCAGAGGAATGAATTTCCCGAGAAGACAGAGATTTTAAAAGAACTACTTGTGTGTCGGAAGATTCGAAAGACTGCGGAAAGTCGTCGCCTCGCCGAACAAGAAGTCATACTCGCAGAAGAAGAGAATCTAAAGAAAGCTGAAGCCGAGGGGACCATGTCAGAATGCTGCTGCTGCTATTCCGACTATCCACTCAATCGCATGGTACATTGCAACAATGAACAAGTCCTACATTGGTTTTGCCGTGGGTGCGCACGACAATCAGCGGAGACCGAAATCGGAAATTCTAAATATCTGCTCATGTGTATGTCCACGGATGGATGCGAGGCGGGGTTTTCTCTTGAACAAAGGTGAGTATTCTCAATTGTTAAACCTTCAGATTTGTACTTATCTATTATGCAGAAATCAATTCCTAGACGAATTAACCATCGTCGCCTTGGAACGTAATGAAGCAGAAGCTGTCTTACGTATGGCTGGTATCGAAAATCTCGCCAGCTGTCCATTTTGTCCATTCGCAGCAGAATATCCTCCTGTCGAAGTCAATCGAGAATTTCGATGTCAAGCTCCTGATTGCGAAAAGGTCAGTTGTCGACTTTGTAAATTGGAGTCGCATATTCCTATGACTTGTGAAGAAAATACCAAGGCAAATGGTCTCTCGGTTAGACGACAAATTGAGGAAGCAATGTCTGCAGCAATGATTAGGACTTGTAACAAATGCGGTACTCCATTTGTAAAGGAAGAAGGTTGCAATAAAATGACATGCACACGCAATGGATGTTATAACGTTCAATGCTATGTTTGTTCCAAATCATGCAATTACGATCATTTTAATGATGTAAGGAGAGGTGGTAAAGAAGGAAATTGTCCACTATTTGAATCAGTGGAGGAACGACATAATGATGAAGTTAAGAAGGCCGAAAAAGAAGCACTGGCAAAAGTTCGTGCAGAACATCCCGAATATTCCGAGGAGGACTTGAGAGTTAAGATGTCGGAAAATGTCACCAAGGATGATGAAAGGAGAAAGGCGATGGATCCAAGAGTTCAACATGCCTATTTTCGACCGGTAGCAATGGGTTAGTACTTCGTAATGATTTTTTCGTTGTTAATTGATACCATAATGTTATATGATCTTTGGCTTTCGGCATTGGGTGGGTAAATCTTAGAAATGGTATTCTATTCTCTCTTCTTTTGAAACCAGATACTAGGTAGTAAGATAAATACCATTACCAAAGCCTTTGGGTCGGATAGATGTTATGTGGGTTTTTTGCTTCCCCTTGTTTTGGAGTAGTCATTTAATTGCGATGCATGCAACATAGACATTTTTGCATATTTGCTGACTAATGGGTACACAGGACAACAAGAATTGCAGCGTGATCATGGTGAGTTTATTCGAATTTTTTTTTGTATTTTTTTTTTTGGTTTTTATTTTTGATCTTTTGGAGTGGAATCAGGGGGTAAGACGAGGTGGTAGAGAGGAAGTTCTCCGAGGTGAGAAATGGTGGTCCACTAAATATATGGGTACTTTTTTTGTAGTTGTTAAAGTGATGAATGATTTCAAAGTTGAAACGAAAAGTTGAAACGGAAAGTTGGGAGATTTATTTAGGGGGAAGAGGAGATTTAGGGGGAGAGAGGAGAGGGTGGGGGCGGGGGTGGGGGTGGGAAATTGAGATGGATTAGAGTAGTGTACATGGGATGATTGAGATATTGGGGGACTGGGGGACTAGCATCTGGGAGGAATTCCCCCTGAGAGGAGGGGGGTGGATTATCTTGGATGTTTTTCTTTTTCTTTGATTTTTTTGGGAGGGGGGGATCTTGGATATCGAGAGGGAAGAAGGGAGAGAGGGGAGGGGTGGGGAGGAGTGTTTTTCTTTCTTTTCGGAAATATGTACTAACTTATTTTGGGATGGTAGATTTGTATATGCAGTTTCAGGAAAGGATTAGGAGGCATGGACGAAATTACAGGATCGCGATAGGGAGAGATGATGGAGATGATCATCTCCGGAATATGGAAAATAATATGGTTGGGGCACCGCAGCTTGTGGATGAGAATGGGGATGAGGATGGGGATGAGGATGATGAACTGGATGAGGATGATGAATTCGATGAGGATGAGGATGATGAATTGGGTGAGGATGAGGAATTGGATGAGAACGAAGGGGTCATGCAGCCTGGACTCCTTGCTCAGCAAATGGAAGATATTTACGGAAATCCAGTCTTTGATCCAATGGATCTTCAATATCTCGAAGGTGCGAGAGCGATGTATGCAGATGTGGAGAGGGAGAGGGGGGTTGGGGGGGGTACTTCCTGCTCTTGTTCCTGCTCTTGTTCCTGCTCCCGCTCCCGCTCAAGTTCAAGTACCCAAACCCAGAAATAGACATCTGATTGCAGATTTGCAAAAACAGTTGAGGGGTCTGGCAGGACACATGAATGAAATTCTAGACGCTGGGGAAGCGGGCGGAGAGGATGGGAATAGGAATGGAAAGGGAAAGGGAAAGGGAAAGGAGAAGTTTCCTCTTGCACCAATACCTCCGGCACCGCGTGTTGTCGCGAGACAGAGAGATGGGGAGAGAAATGGAGGAAGAGGGGATGAGTTGTTGAGGGATATGGCAGATGCGTATCGTGCGCGCAATGAAGCGAGGATGAGGAGGGCAAGAGGAGTCGTGCTGCGCAGGCAGTTGGGAGAAGAACGAGATGGGTCGGGGCTGGGGGTGGTTAGAGAAGAGGGTGGGGATCTGCCGATTCCTGTTTTGCCGGGTGTGATGGCGCGGCGGGGTAATGCGGGAATGGGAGAGGGGGGTGGTGGAGGGGGAGAGCCCTTGGCTTTTATACAACTTCGTGAGAGGTATGGTCTTGGTTTAGGGGGTGAGGATGGGGAGGGGGATGGCGATGGGAATGCAAACGGAAATGGAAATCAGAATCGCCTTCTGCCAAATCCTGTTCCAATGAATGGAGATGGAGATGTTAATGGAAATCAGAATCCTGGTCTCCCAAATCCTGTTCCAATGGATAGAGATGGAAATGTTAATGGAAATCAGAATCCTGGTCTCCCAAATCCTGTCGCACGGAATGGAGATGTAAATGAAGATGCATTTGCAGAGAGGGACAGGGAGAGGGAGAGGGAGAGAATCCGAAGGAGAGAAGCGCACGGAGAAACGGTTCCACATTTCCACGGATTACTTAACCCTCAACATGCGAATAGAAACGGGGATGCAGAGAGGGAGAGGGAAACAATTCTCGATAGAAACCAGGAACATACTCGACAACTTCGTGAACGAAATCGATTACGGGGGGAGATTGCATATGGAGATGGAATTGCAGATGCGGCTGCGGCTGTAGATAGGGAGAGGATCCAAAATGCAGGAAGAGAAGCGATGGAAGAGGCACAATTACTTCGTGAACAGCGTCGATCGCAGTTTGAGATTATGTATGGGAATGCAAATGGAAATGGAAATGGACATGGACATGGGAATGGAAATCGGAATGGAAATTATTATGCTGCTCAATTTCCTAACTATCCTCCTCCTCCTCCTCTTCAACCTCCACCTCAACCTCGATCTCCAGTTGCTGGACCCCCTCGGCTAGAAATTGGAAATGCGGGGGAAATTAGAGGGATTGTGGAGAATTCTCCTGCTCCTCCTGTTCCTGCTCCTGCTCCTGCTCCTGCTCCTGCTCCTGCTCCTGTTCCTGCTCCTCTTTGGGCTCAGTATCAAAATGTCCTGGGGAGGAATAGAGGAGTGTTTATTAGGCATGAGAGACGAAGGGGTTTTATTGATGGAGGAGGTTTTGCTTTTGCAGGTGTAGGGGGAGGTGCAGGTGGAGGTGGAGGTGCAGGTGGAGAAGAACATCTTCCTCCTGGTAGGAATTTGTATGCTGGTTGGGAATTGAAGAGGAAGAGAGAGGTGGAGGGGATTACGGCGGGGATTCCGAGTCCGGGGGAGGATGTGTTTAGTGATGAGGAGGGTGGGGTGGAGGGGAAGGAGGGGAAGGAGGGGAAGGATGGGAAGGAGGGGAAGGAGGGGAAGGAGGGGAAGTGAGGGGAAGGATGGGAAGGATGGGAAGGATGGGAAGGATGGGAAGTGAGGGAGAGGGAGGGAGAGAGAGAGAGGAATTGTATAATTTGGAGATTGATAGTCAGGATTTGGGATGAGCTTGAGATTGAGGTTGAGATTGAGAAAATACAAAATGACAAGTTGGCTGGTGTTTGAAGGATTTTGCTCTCTCGCTTGCTCCTTTACTTTTCTCGATTTCTCTGTCGATTTCTCTCTACAGATAGATAGATGGGTAGATGGGTAGATGGATAGATAGATGGATAAAAAGACAGATCGATCGATGGATGTATAGAGAGACAGATCGATCGATGAGTAGATAGATAGAATAAATAGTTTAATAGACAAATTAATAAATTAATAAATAAATAAATAAATAAATAAATAAATAAATAAATAAATAAATAAATAAATAAATAAATAAATAAATAAATAAATAAATAAATAAATAAATAAATAAATAAATAAATAAATAAATAAATAAATAAATAAATAAATAAATAAATAAATAAATAAATAAATAAATAAATAAATAAATAAATAAATAAATAAATTAATAAATAATTAATAAATAAATTAATAAATAAATTAATAAATAAATTAATAAATAAATTAATAAATAAATTAATAAATAAATTAATAAATAATTCAAAAATCAAAGAATTATAGGATTATAGAATTATAGAATTAAATAATCAAATAATTCAAGAATCTAAGAATCAAATAAAACAGATTTAGAAACCGATTGTAGAGTTGGAGAATTATAGAATTGAAGAGTTGGAGAATTGAAGAAATAGAGAATAGAAAAATAGAAAAATAGAAGAGTAGAAAAGTAAAAGAATGAGAGAATGAGAGAGTAGAAGAGTGGGAAAGTGGGAGAGTGGGAGAGTGGGAGAGTTGTAGAGTTGAAGAGTTGAAGAGTTGGAGAGTTGTAGAATTATAAAATTGTAGAATTGTAGAATTGGAGAGTTGAAGAGTGGGAGAGTTATAGAATTTTAAGGAGAGAAGGTAAAGAGTAAAGGATGGAGATGGAGATGGAGATGGAGATGGAGATGGAGATGGAAATGGAAATAGAGATAGAGATAGAAATGGAGATAAAGATAGAGATGAAAATAGAGATAGAGATAGAAATAGAGATAAAGGTAAAGATAGAAATAAAAATAGAAAAAAAATAAAAATAGAAATAAAAATAGAAAAAAAAATAAAAGGATTAAGATTAAGATTAAAATGAAAAAGAAAAAAGAAAAGAAAAGAAAAGAAAATAGAGATAGAGATGGAAAGAGAGAGAGAGAGAAAAGAGGCTAAATATGTATTGAAGAGGGTGAAAAGCTTGATTGTATTTCTTATAAAAGTTAAAGCTATTTAAGGTGTTAGAAAGCTAATAAAACCACGCTAGAGGGGCTGTAGTATTTACTCTGTTATCTGAGAGAGAGAGAGAGAGATAAAGATATAGAGATAGAGAAACAGAGAGAAAAAGAAAAGAAATAGATATAGAAATAGATTAAATAATAAATTAAATATAAGAAATAAATAGATAATAAAGAAAAAATAATTGAGAAAAATAAAATAGAAAAGGGAATTTTGAATTTTGAATTTTGAATTCTTAATAATCTTAATTATATATCAAGCTAAGTAATAAAATTAACGGGATTTCAAATTAGTAAATTAATAAACTAATTTCAATACTATCTATATGAATAAGGGTATTCACTTCGAAGGAATAACTTTAATATAATGGCTACTGTATCAAAGGTATTTAGGCGAATGCGAAAGAGACTAGCTCTTTCAGTAGTGTCTATATAAGGCCTACTATTTCCCTCATTTAGCTAGCTCTTTAGATTGAATACAAATAGACATTTAGGGGCCTACGCATAGTGGGAACTACGTCTTTCGTATCTCTCTCGAACTAACACTATCTAAATAATTATATTAATTTTCAAAATTTGGGAATTTAGTAATTCAAAGTGAGAAGAATTTAAAGGGAAAAGAATTTAAAGTAGAAAGAATTCAAAGGGAAAAGAATTTAAAATAAAAGAATTTAGAAGTATATAAATAATTAAGTATATATAATTTTAAATTTATAAATAATAGGAATTTGAAAATTCTAAGTAATTTTTTAATTTAAGTTTATAATTTTATATATTAAGGATATTAAAAATTAGATATTGAAAATTAGATATTGAAAATTAGATATTGAAAATTAGATATTGAAAATTAGATATTGAAAATTAGATATTGAAAATTAGATATTAAAAATTAGATTATTTTTTAAAGATATTATAAAGTTATTAGATTTTGAGATTTTAAGGGTTTAGAATTACTTATCGACTATTTATAATATAGTCAACCACTTATAGGTAATTAATAGTATCGACTTTGACCTATAGTGATCTTTATATAATAAAATTATTTTATAAATCAATAATAAATTAATTATACATTCAATTAAATAAATGAAAAGATGAAAATGTTTATTAAAATAATTTTAATATAATTATCAAAAATGATTATTTTAGTAGTAATTATATAAACAAGGGTATTTACTTTAAAGGAATAACTTCAATATAATGACTATTGTATTAAAGGTATTTAGGCGAATGCGAAAGAGACTAGCTCTTTCAGTAGTGCCTATATAAGGCCTACTATTTCCCTCATTAACTAGCTCTTTAGATTAAATACAAATAAACATTTAGAGGCCTACTTATAGTAGGAACTACGTCTTTTATATCTCTCTCGAACTAATAGTAATAATAAGAATATAAATATAAAGTTAGATTTATTCGAATATATTCAGTACTTCGGGATTAAGGAAATAATATTTCTATTCATTTTGTTCCTAGAAACCAAATATTACAGGGTATATATATAATAGTAAGCTATCAGGACTTCGATCCCTGATACTATGCCTTTTGAATAGATTATATATATAACATAGTAGTAAAGCTTACAACTCCTATTGTGTTCACTTACGTAACAGAGTATCAGGAATCTTACCTTATGGATATCGTTCTAAGATCTCTGATTCGTGCTTTGATTGGAACTGGGTTAACAACCAATTAGAAAAGTGGATCGAATTAGAGGCGAGGATGTATCTGCTCAATAATTAGATATTCTGAATTCATTAGTAATAGGATTACTAATGGTAAGGGTATTGAATAATGGACTGTATATTGATCATTATTATAAATCATATAGTTAACTATATATTATTAATAATAATCCATACTTAATCTTTTCAAAACAAAAAGACTAAAAAGGAGAGCTTTGTTATAGAGTATATATATAATAATAAGCTATCAAAACTTTAATTTCTGATATTATGCCTTTTGAATAGATTGTGTGTATAGTGTAGTAATAAAGCTTACAACTCCTATTGTGTCCGTTTACGTAATACCAAACTCGATAGAAAAGTATTATATTTTATTATATTATAAATTACTAAAAACTATAACAACAACCCTTAATCAATTATATATTATTAGAAATCAATACTTAATTAAGAAATCGATTAGAGCTATAATCTATACTAAAATTTAATATTATATATTATATAGTTGATTTATTATTGATTTATAAAAAGAATTTCACTATATTAGGGTTGCTATAGGTTAGAGTTAGTACTACCGACCACCTTAGGATAGTCGATAGAATTTTTCTAATAGCCGGTAAGTAATAATATTAATAACGAGCTTTTTCTCGGCTCTTCGTGGCTAAAAATAACAACGGCCTCGCTAGCGCTCTCTGTAGTTATTTTTAACGCTACTCAGGACCTACGCCTACGCTCGTGCTGCGCAGCTTTTTTATAATAATAATAATAATAATAATAATAATAATAATAATAATAATAATAATAATAATAATAATAATAATAATAATAATAATAATAATAATAATAATAATAATAATAATAATAATAATAACAATAATAATAATAATAATAATAATAATAATAATAATAATAATAATAATAATAATAATAACAATAATAATAATAATAATAATAATACTACTTAGATTACGCTAGCCCTCTCGCTTCTAGCTCGCATGAGGGCGCCGAGGCGCGTTAAGCCTAAATCTTCTAATCTTCCTAAATCTTCTAAATCTTCTAAATCTGCTAAATCTCTAATCTTCTAAATCTTCTAATCTCTAAATCTTCTAAATCTCTAAATCTTCTAAATATTCTAAAGCTTCTAAATCTGCCTAAATTTCTAAATCTTCTAAGCTTTCTAAATCTTCTAAATCTAATAATCTAAGAAATCCTAATAAATCTAATAAATCTAATAAATCGAATAAATCTTAAAAATCTAATAAATCTAATATCGAATAAACAATAAATCTATAAACTAATAAGCTAATAAATCTAATAAATCTAATAAATCTTACTAAGTCTTCTAAATCTAAATCTAAATCTAAATCTAAATCTAAATCTAAATCGAAATCGAAATCTACTTCTAAATCTAAATCTAAATCTAAATCTAAAAATCTAAAATCTAATCTAAATCTAATAAATCTAATCCCCCCCTCCTCTCCATCTCCCTTTCTAATCCCCTCCTCTTTCTAATCCCTTATTTCTCTTATCGCAAGTCCTGTTACAGGATATATATATAGTAGTAAGCTATCAGGACTTCGATTCCTAATACTATATCTTTTGAACAGATTGTATACATAATATAGTGGTAAAGCTTATAACTTCTATTATATCTATTTATATAATAGAGTATTAGAAATCTTACCTTATAAGTATCGTTCTAAAATCTCTTATTGATTATACTTTAATTGAAATTAGGTTAATAATTAATTAGATAATGGATCTGTAAGGGACGAGGATATATCTGCTTAATGATTAGATATTCTGAATTCATTAGTACAGGAATTACTAATGGTAAGGGTATTGGGTAATAGACTTGGCGTATTATCACAAATCATATAATTAACTATATATTATTAGTAATAATCCCCGCTTAGTCTTTTCGGAATGAAAAGATTAAAAAGGAGGGCTTTGTTACAGGGTATATATATAATAGTAAACTATTAGAACTTCGATCCCTAATATTATATCTTTTGAACAGATTATATATATAATATAGTAATAAAGCTTACAATTTCTATTGTGTCCGCTTATGTAACAAGTCCCGAACCTTTAAACCAATCAGAAACGTTTATTCAATTCTTCAAAATCTTCAATCTCTTCAAATCTTCAATTTACTCTCTAATCAATTATTTCTCTTATTAACTACAATTTATTAATATAAAAATTATATCATTAAAAAGCTTTCAATTTATAAAATTCTAGAATTCCTTTTAATTCTATTTCATAAATTCTCTACTCTTGATTTGTTGATTAATTTGATATAAAGTATTTTAATATTTATATACAGAGTATCTATATTTTTTCTCAACCAATCAGTTTTCAGTTATAAACTGTATTTTAAAATCCTATATATTAGGGATAATTATATTTATTCTTATATTTATTCTTATATTTATTCTTATATTTATTCTTATATTTATTCTTATATTTATTCTTATATTTATTCTTATATTTATTCTTATATTTATTCTTATATTTATTCTTATATTTATTCTTATATTTATTCTTATATTTATTCTTATATTTATTCTTATATTTATTCTTATGTTTATTCTTATATTTATTCTTATATTTATTCTTATATTCATTCTTATATAATATATATAAGGGCTAGTATTACGATTATATACTAGAGTATATTATAAAGATTAAATAACTAGAATAAAAAAGCTAAAGAGGAAAGAGATTCTTAAAGAATCTCTTTATCTCTTATATATATCTAGTTCAAGCTAGTCTTGAACTAGGCTGTGATGAGTCATCATGTGTGTCACGTGATATTCGTCACAGTCAGCCCAGCCCCTAAGCCTCCGATCCTCGCTACGCTCGAGTTTAAATTTATATTTTAATTTAGATTCTAATATTGAAAAATATCTAAAGTAATTATATCCCTCCTTGTAAATATATCTTTAAATATAAAAATTTCCTAATTATAGAAATATATAATTATATAATAGAGTATATAATCACTTGATTTGCTTTTACTAATTTATAAAGATAAAATTAATCTATTTTAATATTTAGAAAAAAATAAATATGCTATTAAGTATTGAAAATTTTATTTTAATTAACGAAGCGATCGCTTAGTCAACTACGAATTCTACTACTATAGGGATCTCGCGACGAAGTAGCTATTATATTATCTATAAAAAGTAGCAACATCGTTCTAAAGGAGATTATCTACAACTGGATTTAAATTTCGTATTTGACGATAGAGTGTAGGACTATGAGTGATTGTGTAACAAAGGATTGCTCTCATTGGTAGGTTGCTTTAAGTTAAGTTCTAAAGCCTGGAGTCCAAGCTGCTAAGTTTCAGATTGCCTTTGTTATCCTGCAAAAAAAGGAGCTGGTCACATGGAATGCGCTAATGGAGGCTGCTGGCTCCCCATTGAAGATTTGGAGCGATCTTGTAAATTAGAACAGAGAAAGACACAAGTATGAGATACATCTTTGCTTATGTTCGATATATTCAAACGTTGTAAAATCTATTGAAAACACCCAGATATATACTCCCGCATCCAAAGCACTACAAATAGTGTATTCATTGGATCAAACGTGAGACACCATTAAAACGACATCGTACTCTCCTCTAAAGTAATCAGAGGCTTTGACGTCCATTCCATATTTTCCAGATGAGCATATCCAAGTTTTTGTAGCCGTACAATGACCTCGTGAAAATGCTCTTCCAATCTTTTGACCAGGTTGTGTAAAAATACTGCTCGATAATGCTTCTTCGCTATCTGTGTTGGTCGGCGACCATGTAGCTTCATCACGATCTCATTCAGTTGATCGTCATCGCTGTGTGGGTTGGCGATACCGTTAGACTTCAGAAAGCACAAGGCTATATAGTACACTATCGTTTCGAGGTCTCCATTGATCTTTTTATTGATTGTTAAAGCTGTGAGCCGATAATTAGCAACAATGATTTTGATATTAACTCAGAAGCAGTGTCGAAAGGCGATAATTCAAGAGGGCGTGAGGGATAGTTTAACATAATGTTATGTGACTTCGACTCTTCGAGGAATTTGATAAAAGTCATAGATCCGGCTCCGAATGCACCACCGGCCATAGTTCTAACTCCGTACGATAATGCTGCCCTAGTGGCTGTTAGAGCAGCATTTTCGGCTACCACGGCACCAACACTTGTACTGACGACAGCTGTGCTGCCCATAGCTGGCCCAGTAAGTGCGGCGACTGGGGCTGTCACAGGAGCGGTATAGAATAGAATGCCCCCGACAACGAGACTACTAACAGCAATGGTGCCCCATATACATTTCTGTTGTGCCTTCTTATCTACGAGCAAAGCCAACACACCAGTAAGCGCTGGAGTCCTTCGTTTAAGTTGGTATATCTTTGAAAGCACGTCGCAAGTTTGACGAGGACATGGCTCCCTCGACTCTGTTTTAAACACAATATATCAGAATGAAACTACTAACAAAACGTTCCGTAGAATTTTACATACTGGTATCCATAGCCATGTTCTCCAAAGCGTCCAAAACTTCTTCCATACATCTTATCACTGGCGGGGTGTATTGACGGACTAAATCATCGACACTAGATCGGTCGAGATCTTTTAACAAAGAATTCTGTGAATTGTTAGCTTGAAATGATTGTCTACTGGTTCTAGTTGATCAGGAGAAAAAACTTTTTCCATTAGATCAGGTAGGACCCCAACTGCTGCTCTTCCGGCAGCCAGTCCTATGTTAGCATTGGAATTTGGAAAAATGCCATTCGGAATCATTTGTATAATTTCATTGTACGCTCTGATAACCTCTGACACACGATCCAAGGTCAGGAGACTACACATCATTAGATGAGATGAGGAATTTTGAAGCTTAATCTTACGGTCCATGGTAGAACTTAGTTCGAACAATTTTGGTCTTGAACATCTCCCATTTTTTGATTTCTGGGAGGTGAAACTCCTGGATGTCGAGTCTGCTGTAGGAAGTCTCCCCATTTGGGATCGCCGGGTAATTGAGAGCGAAGCCGATCAGGCGGTCGGAGTAGATTGAATTCACATAGTCTTGGTTGCTCATATGTGCCTGGAAATATTGGAACAAGAAGTCAACGAGAGCCTTATGGTCCTCCCATCTATCCTCTTGTTGGTAGGACGATTTCGGTGGCAAGATATCCATGCTTCGGCATGAAATATTCACCTAACAGTTTAGTAAAGATACTTTAGGGGATGGCTAAAAGAGTTGCGTTCCCCAAAAGTTCGGCCACTCACCTGTGTTGGTTGAGGCCACGACCCCGCTGAATCGATGGAGCGAGGCAGGGTGGTGGTAGTCCAAGGGTTCGAGGATTTTGATCCCTCGTGTATTCCTTGAAGAACGAAGCTGATGTGGTCGGCGAGTTGAGAATTCGTCTGACGAGAACCTCGTTGCCAAACCGATAAACGAACCGTGAAGTCGACATCAACGGGAGCTGGAGCTGGCCGACGGCTTGCGATTAAAGACGCGTATGGGTTCGGTTTCTACCGGCTGAGGGCCAATGAGCTTGTGGATGAGCTCATGATTGACTGTACGTTACTGCGTTGCTGGAGCTTGGTATGGATGATGAAAAAAAAAGAGAGAGTTAGAGAGGATTGTAGAACGAAGGGAGATCCTCCTTTGAAATATATTCAACAACTGCATGATACAAATACAAAGCCAGGATCCAGGCTCGACCGCTCCATCTTGTTGCCATGTTGCCAGTCTCATAATCAAAGGATCACTAGTGAAAAGCTGTGATCATCGGCGAAAGAGAAAAGAAAGTTTTAGAAAGCGTATGGCTGGCTGAAGGATGAAAGCCACAAAACACTGTACCATCACCCATTCCATTCGGTGGTCGAAGTTCACTTTCCACGATAGACTTCCCAATTAAAAAGCCTTCTTGAGCTGTCAATACAGTTTGATCAGGTACTGCCAAGTGAAAAATTGACTTAGACCCCGAAATGAATCGGGGTTTCACAGTACTTTAAAGATAAAAGCGAGGAAATTTGAGATGGTATAAAATATGAACGGCCTACGACATGATGATTTCATGGCAGCAGCAACGATAGCAAGACAACGACAGCATGAGCCCGCAGGATGCTTTGTCAGTCAGAAACTATTTGAGACTATTGTGTTGAGCTAAATTCCATTTAGATGAGAGGCTTGCTTCTAGATTGTCGTTATATAACTTAAAGAAAAAAGATTGCGTCGAGTGTTTGAGATGCTTTGTTTGCTGTAGCTAAACTCTGTTTCAGTTTAAGTAGTAGTATCGTATTCGTTTAAAAGATAGATCATGCGCTAGTAAGGTTTCTTACTTTGAGGTTATTTTAGAGCTAATTGACTCGCTTTTAAATAAAATCAAACGCCTCAAAATAAAAGTATTCAATCGAAATATTAAATATTTATTAAATAATTTATTAAAGAGATAAATCAAATAACTCTAGTAATTACTATAACTCTAATCTATAAAAAACTTAAACAATTAATTCTTACTAGCGTATAGTCTATTTTTTAAAAGAATATAATGGTAGTAGTAGTAGATTTATTAATATCTAAGAGAAATCTCTTCAAAAGTATAGAGATATATTAAGCTAAGATATTAAAATAAGATTTTATATATTAAAAATAAGAAATCTTAATAAAAAGAAAATATTTATAATAATTATAGACTCTTAACTTATAGTATTAAAAATCTCTTCTAAACTCTAATTTTTTTTAAAAAAAATTAAATTATATCTTAAATATTACTTAGTAATTTAAATATTAAATATTATTTAAAATATGATATTAAGAGTTTAATTATGTATATATATACTCTTTATTATACTTCTTATATAATTATATTTAATCTTATTAGACTAAACTTTAAATGATTACAATTATTTTTAAATTAGATTTTTAAAATATATCAAATTTAAAGCTTTGTAATAATAACGAGTTCTTTTATATTTATTAGAATATTTACTAATATATTAATTAATACTAATTAAATTAATAAAAAAGAAGAAAATATATACTTAGACTTAAATCTTAACTCTAAGAAATCTTAAATAATTATTACGATTATATATTAGAGTATAGTATAGAGGTTAAATAACTAGAATAAGAAAGCTAAAGAGAAAAGAGATTCTTAAGAGATCTCTTTATCTCTTATATACGTCTAGTTCAAGTTAGTCTTGAATTAGGCTGTAATGAATTATTATATATATTATGTAATATTCGTTACAATAATCTTTATATTAGATTTAATATATTTAGTTACTTCTTATTTTTAATTAATTATTTACTTTACTTTAATTATATCAATTTTTTTGAATATTAAAAATTACAATTTCTATTTAAATCTAATTAGAAATAAATTTAAAATTCTAAACGAATATATAATAGATTAGAATTAATTATCAAATAGATATACTTTAAATAATATTAAGTATTTATTTAAAAAACTAATTAAATATTTGTTTTATTATATATTATAGAGTAAGATAACTATTTAATAGAATATAATTAGATATAAATATATTCGAAATAAATAGTATATAATATTACAATTTTTATATAATAAGTTTAATATAATTCTTTAATTAATAATTTAGAAATTCGAGACTTTAATTATTTAAAGATTTGAAATCTATTATATAGAAAATTTATATACAGAATAATAAAATAATTAATTATTGATATTTTATTAATATTATTATATACTTTTAAATTTATATATAAATTATAAATAATCTCGTTTTAAAACGATAATTATATAATAATTATATAATATACTTCGAATATTCTAAATATTTAATAGATTTCTTAGATATTCGCTCTACTTTATATCTTTAAAGTAAAGTAATTACTAAAAGAGAATAAAAACCCCTAAGTAGATTACGAGTACTCAATCCTATAGTAGATATACTAATTGAAGTAGTTATAGATTAGTCTTAAAACTCCTTTCTTTTCTATACGATATGTTTTAGATCTTTACTCGTCTTTGTTTCAGCTTGAGCGCCACCATGAGATCGTATTCGGCCCTCACTAGACCTAATGCAGTCGCCGAGCCGGGCTGAGCATTCTTTGTTTCGCGAACAGCAAACAGCGAGCAGATGAGATAAAAAAACTGTTCACTGAATGCTTGACTAATTCTTACAAGAATCCATCATCATCATCATCATCATCATCATCATCATCATCATCATCATCATCATCATGCCTTACGTCTTCGACCCAGCTGCTATTATTGATTCCCTAGGCCCTACGACCATCGGTGAGCAATTCGAAAAGGATCGTATGGACGTGGGCGAAGACTTGAGGGATTTGGTCGAATCCCGTCCATATTATGAGGCTTATCAGTATGTGTCCACCGTTCAAATTGAGATGCAATCAATAACATCCATCTCATAGCGATAAATCAGAAAGCAGAGACTTGAGTAAGTGTCCTCACTGCGGACGACTACGCTTTCCCACTAAATACATCGATAGTCAAAGTCACCGCCGAACCCTTAGAATGGGTCGCGGCCATATTCGAGGAATCGCAGGATTGTCTACGTTTCAAATTGGGAGAGATGAAAACCTTGCTTCTGCAAATCCAGTACGCCAATTGGCCTTACAGACAATTCCCATATGTTCCTAAATGCTTACTCTACATTTGCGCTTTGTAAGTCCAGATCGCTTGCTCGGGTCCCATGCTTGAAGAAGTGCACTGGCTAACTCTCACTGATACCTCAGCGCTTTGGCACATTCTCTCGTAGCAGACGGCAATCCAATATCCAAGATAGTTTGGCGTACGACTGAAAATGCTGCATTGTATCCGAACAATCCTCGGTTTTGTCGTGCTTTTCTCTTGGGCCTCCGGGTGTCGGTCCTGTGGTCCTTCACTCGGGCGTGCAAGATGGGGATTATCATCTGGTGCCGATTTTCGTTGCATGCTTTGATCAAGAAGTTTGAGGCCGACCAGTTGGGCAAGCGGGATGTGGATACAATGCAGGGGTTTCAGTGGAGGATGTTGTGGTTCATCAACATAATGCTCAGCTGATCCAGAAGCTTGACCATTGGCGAGTTCGCGAAGACGATGTAGAGATTGTATTCAAGCTTGTTATTTCATTGTTACAAAAACCACCTTTAGCATTCGAATTTGCCGCACTCACTTGCGACCGTCTGTAGTCTGTTGTTTAGAAGTGCATGATAGTATTGCAGATAGAATTTATTACTTTCGAGAGTAACTGCCTATAAGTGTTCGCTCTTCATGAGAACCACTTCAACACGGCTGTAGGTTGATTTGGCCATTTCATCGCAGGGAACAAGATGTGTGCAACTTCTAATCATCTCTCACAAAAACATAGGTTGAAGGGAATACGTATCCCGTCAACACTTCTATACCCCAGTCTAAAGTCCGCGTATTCGTGAGCGACCACCAACGAATGCTCACTACCATATAATCTTCGCCTCTTTTAATGACCATCTCCAACTTCTCCACGTCAATCAATCGCTGCAGTCTCCCCAATAGCAACTTACCAGAGCCTCGCCATACCAATGATATTAACCGTTATCCAGATTCAAATATCAAGTCGAAGCTTGAATCTCCGAGCCTGTCTCATTTGTGTGTTGTCAGGTGTCTGGTTTTTATTATGTGCTTGATGTTACTGCGGCTCAATGCATCACGTGTCATCGCTAGAGTTGAGGATCCACCATAGGGAGACGCGGATCCGCATTAGAGTCTGATTTTATTCTTTTTGGAGTCATGTTATTAACTTGATGATTGGTGCCCGGCTGAGCTTACGAAGTCGAAGAAATGAATAAGTAGAGTTATGTATAACTCATCCTGAATTCTAATTTCATAACTAATCTATCGGCGGTCTGAATTAAAGATGATCGCTTGCGCTATTGATATATTACTATATTAAAATATACATCGACTACGACTCTTAATATTTTTCGATTAAATCTCTAAAAATAATTATTGAAGGTTTACCTCCTTAATATTCTTACCGTTCGCGAGGGTTAAAGGTATACATATATACGAAAAATTTGATTCGAAAATTGTTAGTTTAAAATGAATTATAATTTTAGCTATCCGATTAGTTATAAATCTTTTATAATGTTTTTAGCAATAATCGATTATAATATTATAGTTGAATTAGTAATAGAATCTTTTAAATCAGTTTATTTAAACTAATATAAATTGAATGAAAAAAAAGAATAGTGATAATCATATATAAAAAGCTAAGGGCTTTTAAATGATATATTTTAATATTGCTAGTTTCAAAACTGAGGTTTTTATAAAGGATTGAAATTGAAATAATATAAATTTTATAATATAAAATTCTAAACTTTTTTAATGAAATTGTTAGAATTGATTCACTTTATCATTAACCTATAAAAGCATAGAGTGTTCCGAATACTTTCGGAATAGTAAATCTATTATATAAACCCTATTAGATAATCACTCCCTAATACTTACCCCTATTTTGTACAAACCCACCCGGTATACGCCAATCAGGAAGGAGTTAGTCCTATAAATATAAATTTGCAAATATAAAATTATATCAAAAGTATATATAACTATAATTAAATTAATCATTGAGATTAAATTCAAAATACAATTATCCTTACTCAGATTTATTAATAAGAAACTCAGAATAAAGTACCCTTATATTCAAAACACAATATTAAAATTGATTCATTTTATTACTAACC